GAAAGAACCAACATATGAGATTCTAAAGATATTTTGCAACGATGAATGGCCTTCGATATGAGTATATGACCTGATAGCTAGGCATCAAGTCCCAATAGTTCTCAAGTAACTCTTCCAGTTTTGGACATCTAGATTGAGGGTCAACATACGTAAACCAACTGGAAATGCCTGTTAATGATCAGAAGAAAGCATGACAACAACCAAGCAAGGAAATTTATCAAGAAATAAGTGCAGTAGAAGCCTGAATTTGTTCCTTTCACCTACCTCCCCAAAAAATGAACTCTTGACTCTCCGATTTCCTTGACAGATGAACTACTGAAAATAACACCACTTGTAGAGTTGTCTTTAAATCCACGAGCACAAGAACCAACCACCAGGCAAACACCATCAGGTTTGCTTCCACATCTAACCTAATGTAATACTTAAACATCAAAGTTGTTTACAGCCCACTCACACACACTATGCAATCCATGTACAAACTTCAGGAAAATATAAATTAGAAAATAACGGAAAAATAGATAAACCAATATAACAACATCCTAAAAGAGTTTTGGGTCGGCTAACATGGATTGACATATGACATCGGAGTTAAAAAGTAGTTAAAAATAAATAAATTAAAACTGTAGATAGCATGTTACTACAAGTGCCCGAGTTTTAATGAAGGTTATTAATAGGAAAGTGTGGCAAGTTGGACAGTTGAAGAGTAGAAGCTCATGGATATCAACTATAAATTAAAAGCAAACATGTGTGTGTTCTGAATCTTCGTTTGATGAGTTTATTGAGCTCACAGTTTTGTTGTTTCTTCTTTTGACCTGCGTAAAGCCTTCCAGGAGTTCCTCATCGAAAGGTGGGATTACTTTATTACCTGAAACAGAAAGAGTTAAAAATAGACTATCCTCAGAAATGATTTCATCACAGGATAGTTTTGGGGCCGGTGTAATATCTGAAGTGCTAGGATCAGAAAGAAGATCTTCATTTCCGGTTTGGACACACATATCAGATCATGAGCTACTTTCCCGCTTACCGCCTTGTTACAGGTAGCCACCGGGGGTTCGTCATGTTTGAAGGCACCGTGGCATTGGCGAGCAGAGGTATCAGCCGTTTCCTTCTCAAGAATAGTTTCACAATTCTTGTTACAATTTTTTGGGGCTATTGTGGCTACAGGATTGGCAGATTGAACATTTACAACTTGGGTATCATTTGAACTATCATAAGGGCCTTCATTGTTTACGGACCTTGAAGCTGCCACAATAGTTTGCTTCTCGATCAAAAGGGGCTGCGCTGCAGCCTCAGATTTTCAGCATAGGCACCAGAGAGTTTCACAGTTGGGTGATCACAGGCTTCATAAGAAATATCATCAGTAAGAGGGGGACAAGCTGCCCGGGCAACATCTTTGGGTCCTTAACAGAAAATTGTTCAGTACTAGTGTTAACCAGTATATCATCATTGTCAACACTTTCATTAGGGGCTACAACAATAGTACAATTAACAGGGGCAACAGGGTCTACCTGACCTGTTTTGACTGGTGCAGCAGGGTCACATTTATGATCACCTGCAGTTGTTTTGCCCACATCACAGTTCACCTCAGCCAAATTTGATTTAACTCTAGGACATTTTGAGGTTAATGGTCGAACCTAGAACACTTAGTGCATTAAACAGGAAGATTTTCATAGCTAACGGGAGAGTCGCGTTCAATAGAAAAAGACGGGTCAATCTGCTAACAGTCATTGAACACCCATAAAAATTCCAAATTATATTTTCTTTAACCAAAATCGCTGAATATCGGAGTCTGAAAAGAAATTAATCAGACTTCTGTTCGATTGAAGAAGCCCTACGGATTACAGAATATGGGTGAGTAAACCCTATAGCTTCCAGAGCTTTTCGTTTTGGGAAAGTTCTAACAAGAGCAAAATGGAAGTTGGAAGAGATAACCTGGACATCGTTTTCAGAGAACAAAATCACCAGGAAGCCTTTGTATCTACCTGGCTTCTTAGCTGGGAGACCCAGAAAGTTTACGTCGGAGAAGAGACATGGCTGAAGATGTAAGCGACGGCCATGGACCGCCTTAGCGTAGGTCACTCCAGTCTAGGTCGCCGGTTCGTGACCCTCCGTCGGCGACATCGCTGCCGCTCAGGCGTCGGGATTAAGAACGATGCGAACAAATAAGAGAGAAAGAAGAGCTTCTTGGTCTAAGATTCTTGAGAGTGAGTTGCGCTCCTGCTAAGTGTGAGTGAGCTGAGTTCCTGGGAAGTGTGAAGGGTTAGTAGGGTTAAAATTTATAAAATAAACCCTTCTTCAAAAAAAAAAATTTCATAAATTATGAACATGACCCCGTTTTTTCACCTTGAGTGTCACTATTAAATGGTGATGTTATTGTGTCAGAAATTAGTGATACTTATGTGTAAACTTTCAGTTATGTCGTCAGTTTCTGACACTAAATTGAATAGTGTCACTAACGAAGTGTCACTGTAAGACAGTTTTCTAGTAGTGCTTGAATCTATTTTTATGATGGTTGACTTATTAATGAGATTTTCCCCTTAATATTATTAAATTAAAGCTATTTTTCATTATGTGACCATATTTACATTTTGATAAAAATGTGACTAAGATAAAGTGACAGCCAAAAATTCATGTCACTGCCCAATTCTTATGTCACTTTTCGATGTCACTGCCGCCATATCACTATTGCCACCATCGTCGATTGCCGCCACTAGCCATAGCGACACCACTGTAGTGACATCTCCGCCGCCGGTCACTGTGAAACCACCGCAGTGACATATGTGATGTCGCCGATGTTACTATTACCCACTGGAAATGTAATTTTCAATCAAAACTTGCCGTCACCCGATGCCCCCTCCACTGTCACCCCCGCCCCGCACTCAGCCCCCGCACACTCGGCAACCGCCGCCGCCCAAACAGTGACCGCATCAGCCCCTCCCTATCCAACAAGCCCTTCTCCCCAACCTTCCAACCCCTCACTAGCCCTCAGCCCCTCTACACCCACTGCCCAACACAACATCGCACCCTATCCCACCACCCCCTGCCTAGCCATCTGCCCCTCCACAGTCGTTGCCAAACACCACACCCCACCCAGCCCTGTGAGGGACGCCCCACCATCATGCCCCCGCTGCCTATCACACAAGGCAACTGTAGCCACCGACATCAGATCTCAAACCTTAGCTGAATCGTACGATCGCCGCCTTCACCGAGTATCCATCTCAGACATGGACCGTCGCCTTCACCATCACCTATATCACGAACCTTTGTCGTCAAGAACAGATACAGCCATCGCTGCACATCCATGCCATCTGTAATCGAAACAGAAGTCAACAATCGATGAAGGAGAAGAAGACATAAGGAGCAGAAGCTAGAGCGATGAACCTAGTTGATGGAGATGGAAGCCTGAGGACGAATTTGGTCGATGGTGATGGTGATGGTGGTGAGTGGCAAGGAGACAACGATGGCTTGATGACGGCGGCGATGCGGCAGCGATGCGGTGGCGATGCGGTGGCGATGGTGGTGACACGATGGAGAAGTCAATGGAGGTAGATTTGACGATGGAGAAGTCGATGGAGTAGATCTGGCGTGGAGAAGGAGGAGAGAAGGTGAGTGTTGATCGTTGCAAAGCCCAAAAGGATCAGTGGTAACTTGTTTGTCAATTTCTAAAATGGTCATATTTTTGTCCATTCAAACTTCATAAGTAATATATGAGTCATTCTTTCTTTATTAATTTTAATATAAGGAGATTTCCATTAAAAAAAGTCTTGGTAATGAGTTGTATTTGTACCGAATTGATTAACATTGCTTCATATTTTAAGGAGAGAATTCCCAAAATGGGAGTAAAACTTAAGGTAAATGCAAAAACAGAGCCTATTGTTTTAAATTCCCTAAATAAGAGTAAATAAGGAGAAGGAGAAGGAGAAGGAGGAGAAGAAGAAGAAGCATTTACCTAAACACATGTCGATTGGAATAGATGTTGCGAACATAGCTGACCAAGATGCTGCCTTCCTTTGTAGCAATAGTGTCTCGTCCTTTCTGGAGAGCTCTGGGGCCATCGACGTGGAAGAGGAGCGAAAGAGGAGACCGATGAATTTAGGAATTTAATATACATGGGTAGAATGGTAATAGGGAGTCCTATTTAGGGAAAATAAAACATCAAGTCCTATTATGGAATTTTGGGTATGTTTTAATCCTATTTTGAATAATTCCTTTATTTTAAATCAATTTCAATTCACTTCGATTGAAGTCTTCTCTGCAAGTCCATGGAACATGTAGCTATCAAGCATCAATCACTCCAATAAACGATCACGTCTTTTAAAAAGTTTTGGACCGGGAAATTTAAGAAATGTCATTAACGCATCTGATGACTGGACCCTAGCAGCTGCGCAGCAGCCTGTCTTCCTGATCTTGCGCGGCACGACGGTGCATCAGCAGCTCGGCAAGGCTCTAATCCTGTGTTAAGGTAATTAAGATTTTGTGATCGGACTCATCGCTTGAGATTTCAGTCGACTGATGTTCTGCTAATTTTTGTTTCGTCCGACTGAGTTTTCTCTGGCCGAGGGTTTGACCTGTTCCAAAACTTCCAATTGTGAACGTGTTTGTCCTTTTGTTCGTGAATTCCATTGCTTTTTTTTCTCCGTCCTGGACTTGACATTCATTCGTTTGGCCATTAATGAAGAGCTTAAATCAAACTTATGAAAGGATGTCAATGAAAGAGGTTGATTGCAAGGGACCAAAAAACAACAAGGAGGTGGTGCTCTCAGAACAACACCGCCTAAAATACAGATCGAGCCCGTAAATGAGATGATTCCTTTGAAGGTGACTGTTAAAACCGGGACGCTTGAATTATTTTGTTATCTTTTTTTAAAGAATTCTTCTTTAGTTATCTCCCATTTTATTAGCAAATTGGACGATGCTATTAGATTAGTCTATCATGCGGAATTAGTGAATTTGACAGGTCTTTATAGTCTAGTCAATTCTATGTCTCACCCAATGTAATGGGCTATTGTATTATTGTTTTGTGGCTTGTTAGTATAATAATTGAGTCTTTCTTCTTTTAAAAAAATGTTGGTAATGTAGATCGAAGTGTTTAGGGAATTAACTGTAATAAAAACCCGTCTGCCATCTTCATTCCGCCCGACTGATTTTCTCTTCATCACCTATTCGCGGCGGGCATCATATAAGGTACAACCCGTTTCCCTTCTTCATTGCATTCGGGTGTGTATTTATGCTGCGAGCATTTAACGGGGTCTTTTTCTTCTTGGATTTGGTTTGCCGTATTTGGTTAGAATCATGGGCAATATGGAAATTAGATTCCGAGTTGGATATTCATTACACTCTTAATGGTTAAAAAGGTTGAGAATATTTTTTAGCACAATCATTTGGAATTTTAGGTTAAAAACGACCAATTTTTGAGCAGGTAAATTGTAGAGAGTTCTTTGGCTTTCCTTTTAATGGGTTGTTGTAGTGTATCATCTGGGATTTTTAATCGTTCCTCTGTGGTTAGTAAAGAAAAGAAATTTACCATGTTACATGCCTTTAGTTAATCCTTAGGCTAAATGCAAGATGCTTATCAATTTTTGGTGAATTGATTTTTGTTTTAGAAAACATACTACGTACGATGTTATGTATTCCTTTTTTAATGGATTGTTTTCTTGTCAGATGTTTGTTTCTTGAACTTAACATATAGACTCCATTGGAGTAATATAGTTATTTTTTGGAACTTTTAAAACAAGAAATCCTTTATTGGATAACTGCTATTAAGATAAAATAAGGTTCTTAAGGTGACCATACCCTACCAATTTATAGGTATTCAAGCTGAAGTGAAATTAATGATATGACAGCTTAGTTATTTTAGTATATAATGTAGGTTTTCTAAATGGACACTTATTTAAGAATGAAGGGGGTAACGTTAACTGCTCGATTCTTATGATTCAGTAGAAATAGTATGAATATACTCAAGTTCATAATTGTTTCTTCTTTTCAGGATCTATCTGAAACATATAGAAGATGCCATTTTTCTTTACTCTATTGAATAAGTCTGCATAACTAGGAAGAATAAAACAAAACTCTTCTCATAAGTTAATTTTTGAATTTTTTAGTGGAATACTTCCTCCATCCCATAAAACAGTTCCCGCATTGACTTGGATCGGAGTTTAAGAAAGTGGGAATAAAGTGGAAATGTATGGTTGTGGTTGAGTAAGAAAAAAGTAAATGAATGTGGGCCACACAAAATTTTCCAAAAAGGGAAATGAGAACTATTTTTTTGGGACGGACCAAAAAGGAAACCGGGAACTATTTTGCGGGATGGAGGGAGTATAATTTAACCTCGAGTTCTAACAATGTTCAATATTCTCTTACTAGATAGTTGTATGGGCCTTGTTCTGAACCTTGTTTATTAATTCTAAACATTTATAGGTCAAGAAATAAATTTCAACAGGGTATAATGGTCTAAAAGATTAATCTATTGAAGAGCTTATCACATATCGTCATATCGGTTAAATGAAATAAAAAATGAAACCACAAGCTTTAATACATAGTATGCCGTTAGAATCAACCTGATTCATAGCAATGTTGTAGGTTCCCTATGAAAAATCTACGGTCTACACAATATGTCGAGCCGTGAGCATGTGCACACATAAAAAACAGCCGGTTTAGGTGATGGGTGTGCCTAATGAGGTGAATGATAAAATAGCACGATTCAGACATACTGTGTAGTCAATAGTTGAACACTGAGCCAAATACGCTAAATATTAAATATAATTTAACAAACCAATATATAGGGTTTTGGGCTACTTATCAAGGGTGACCTTTTCATATCGAACTCCAAGTCTCCAACACTCAATACAATTCATTTCTATTGTGCATGTTTCTCTGGTCACTCTTATAGCCAATATGGATTGATGCATTTCCATTAAGATTGAGTTTTTTATTTCTGCTTCTGGTCTTGTACTCTGTTCATCTGTTCCAAACACTTTGTCTTGAAGGATCATCTACAATCTATGTACAACAACAACAACAACCAAGCCTTATTCCCAAAAGATTTTGGTGTCGGTACATCATCTACAATCTCTGTCTGAGAGGAAATTAATTTTTCAGCATATACTCCTTCACCGCATATGGTAATGATTGTTTAAGTGCTCAACTACCAACCATGGAGACAAACACAGGAATTCCCCATTCCAATGGAAAGCGGTCTCTCGAAGGGTGCATAACTGTTAGAGAAACTAAAAAGCATATAGAGAAGAGTTCACGTACTCCTGGATTTATTAACCATGGTGAGTCTCTGACAGTTTCTTCTAACCCCCCTGAGTTAGCGAAGAACTCTATTGCTCATTCAAATTTTACCAACTGACTCCCACCTTTTTTTGTTATGTACGAAGTATGTGATTGTTGCAATAATGCTTTGGTGGGTTTATATATTTCTTACTCTTTGCACCATTATGATGAATTATACAAAAAAATATGCACAGTCACATCTAATGGTGGATCACTTCATGCTCCCATATTTTTAGTTGGTCCTCGCTTGCGATTTTATTTTAATTGGTCCACTGCTACCAAAAGGGCGCATGGCTCATAGCATACTTTTGTAATATTAACTTATCTTTTGTGTACTCCTGTAATACTCTCATATTATTACTTTACCCCTGTTTCTTTTCTACTTGAATAAGGTGAAATGGGAATAGCAACCTACTGGTGTACACACAAAAATTGCAGTAGTGAACTCCGAATGAACTCATGGGCCAATAAACATTGTTGATGCCAGAAACATCTAGATACCTGTTCTGTAATTTATACTACCCCAATGTTATGTATTGCCAGAAACATCTAAAATTTTCAAGTAAATTTTACATCTTGGGTAATTTCTTTTGGTTTGATCATCTGTTTGTTATGTACATCAATGGGTAGAATGGGAATATACTCCTCCTTCTGTCCAAAAAATTATATTTTTACAGTTGTACACTAATTTTTGTTGTTAAAAAAGCGGTTTGAAAGTCATCTTTGACTCTTAAATAAAACTCTTATAAAGTGCTTTTAGGAAAAATGATAAACAACTTATACGTAATCGTTTACATTGTGGAAGCACTCTAATAAGTATAGGTTTATAAAATTAATAAAAACACTGACATTATTAGATGAAATTCTAAGAACACTAGACAAGATTGTAGGGGTATAATAGACCATTCATAGCTTGTAAAAGATTGTATGGGAAAGAAACTTGAAAGAAAACAAAAATGTCTCACTCGTACAAGGCTCTTTTCTATGGGATGAAGAGATTATGTTTTAATGTCAGGGGCTGGATGTGCACGAAGATGTATGGTTGTAAAGAAAAGAGAAATGTTAATTTCTATTCTATTGGTCAATAATCTATTGTTGTATGTTTTCCAGCTGCAATTTCATGGCAGGAAAGCAGAAGCAAATGGACAGAGGGTACATCACATATGTCAAGAAGGATTCTTGATGAACCAATCATAAGGTAAGACTACATTTGCATAGCATTTTAAGGCTTCATTTGATTACGAAAAATATTTCCTGGATTTGTTTTCTCGATTGGTTGTGATTGGGTCTTTGGGGCCAGAAACAGTTTCCCGAAGGAAAATTATTTTCCTTAATCAGTTGCTTCTCCTTTTTATAAGTTTCGTCCGTTTTGAATCATTTTCATGAATGATTTTTTTTTCCTGGGTTAAACATCACAATAAACTTTTTTCACAGGAAATATTTTCCACAACATAGTTTGCTTACCTGCTGTGTGGCGGTGCTTAAAGCATTTAACTTTTTCCTCATATCATATTCTACTTATAATACATATCTTTGGGCATTATGTATGCATCGCCCCTCTAGTAAATATACTAGTCATACTAATGTCTGGATTAGTTTCTCAATTATGTAGTATCTCTTATTTGGTGTTTATACGTGTTTATACTCCCTCCGTCCCGCTAAGATTGTCCCATTATACCTTTTCGGGAAATCCCACTAAGATTGTCCCATACCATATTTGGTAAAGTTTCTGTGGCTCTTAATCATTCTTACTTTATGAATTCAATATCAACCACATAAACTCACTTTTCTTAATAACCGTGCCGCCTTTTTCCGTCCCAATGTTAGTGGGATGGAGGTAGTAATATTTTTACTTTTTTCCAAAAATATCACTGCATAAGAACTTCTGTAAAGCCATCTCCAGAGAACCTACTTAACAATTTTAACATCAACTTTTAGTCTGAATTGCATTTTTATACATATCTATCACATTCAAGTGAACCAGGGAAATGAAGAAATACAAGGAAACATAGAGTCATGCCGAAAACCTTGATCTCCATACATCATTCATTCAAGGCTTTTAAATGTAAAATGTGTATCATGTTGGACATGTTTGATATACGGTTAATGCTGGATGATTTATTTTATAAATGGCTTCTTGCAGTTGGTCAATGACATATGAGGAGTTGCTGTCAACTAATGAGCCTTTCGCAGAACGAATTCCCTTACGTGTAAGCGTTTGAAGAAACGTTTCTCAACATCAACTCTATCATATTTGTCAGGGAAACTGTTAAATTCGCCCTCACACTATCTACTATATAAAAAACGTCACTGAAGCCCCTTACCCAATATTCACCCAATTAAGCACAAACTTGTTAAAACACTCAAGTTAGAAGTTTAAGTTGTCATGAACAGGTTCCCCGGTTACCATGATTGTGTGGAACCCTTGTGGAGCTTTTTTCGCTGATGCAGAGCTTACATGTCTTCTTCCTATGCAACTAGGAATCTTCCCAGACTTCAGCTCGTAATTTATCTGCAGCCTCTCTCTTTCTACTTTGTATTAGCTTTGTGAATTGGAATTGCCCCATGCAAGCGAATATAGCTACCATGTTCTTCATCATTACCAGCCTCCAAGTCTGATGTCACTGATAGCTCTGCTTTAATTCTGATTGGCTACCAGAAGGGATAAGAACTAATCTTTACCAGGAGGCACCTTTTACCTGGGAGATGCATGCATGCAGCAAACGACATCCTCAATACCTCCAGCTTCAACTGCGTGGATGCCTCCCTAGTTGTGTAGCAACAGCGATTCTCGACTATCCTACAGCAACAAACTTCGGTGGTCCTTTTATTGTTCCAATTTCAGATGCAGTAGGTCATTGTCTTCAAGGTGCAGTTATGGCAATGCTTGGACTTGAGAGGCCCTTCAGTTCAATTGAACTGAAATTTCATATGCCCTCCCTTCCGTCAGGCATAAAAAATGTCTTCACTGAACAACCTCAGTTTCAATTTCTGTTCAATTTTACATGCCTTCTTTCACTTTCTCTAAATAAAATTATAGTTCTCCTAAACATTCAGCAATTGCCATGGATGCATGTAAACATTTGATTGGGTGATTCTTTTGAGCCTAAAAAGAGGATTTGAGCACTTTTTAAATTGTTCGTGGGTTCGATGGGGGTGATTCTTCGGTACAAGGGTTTCATTGACATTTTCGATATATTCCTACTAGGGTTTGTTTGACAGTTTTTCCTATTTATTCCTCTCCGTTGTATTTTCATTGCTAGTAATCTTTTATAGATGAACGATGAAAACATGAAATAATGAGAGAGATATAATTAAAATAAAAACATGGACAAGAGTATTACTATTACTTTTATAATATAGTGACTATGATGATATTTTCACACTCATTAAAATCTTTATGTTGATGTTCAATTTTACTGTATAGTGCTATGAAACATAGCACTATGGTGATGTTGAATTTAACTATATATTGGCAACACTTGCTATAATATGAAAAGCCCCTTTTTGGTTTCTGGCCATGTTTTTGTCCACGACTCGTAACCTTTTTTCCTGCATTTTACAGGAGATGGTTGACTTTTTGGTTGATATTTGGCTTGATGAGGGACTTTTTGACTGAGTAACATTTGAATGCTGGTGGTTTATAGCTGCTGGGCAGTTAGCTGCTATAATACACCTTTGACATATAACTCACACCAAATCATACCATTAAAGTGTCGTAATGGCTTATGTAATGATCCTAAGTTCACGCGGCATTAGAAACATTGTTAATAGGTTTGCTGCTCTGTGCTGACTTTTTTGTTTCAACTATAATGTAATCCCAGTAATTGTTCTTTATTTTGTTAGTGGTCATTATATATTCTGAAATAATTCAACCTGAAAATGACTTCTTTTGAGGGATATATTGGAAAGAGTTCAGTAGATATGTGGCTTATGGATGGACTCGGGTCCGGGCTGGGTCCGGGTCGGGCCTAGGCCCGGGCGGGCCGGCGGGTCAGAAATGGTGGACCCGGGACCGGCCCGGGTAACCACCGGGTCTGGTCCGGGTCCGGTCCGGGCCCATTATATATATATTTTTTTGTTTTCCTCTTCCTAATTAACCCCCCTCCCACCCCCAAGACCCCAAACCACCCCAAATGGCCCAAAATACCCAGTCCAACCCGAAAATTTAAAAAAAATTGAAAAAAAAAAATAGTTTTTGGCCCGAACCGGGCCCGGGCCCAGCCGGGTCGGGCCTTGTTTTGGGTGACCCGAGCCCGGACCGGAAAACCCACGGGCCGAGCCTACCCGGACCAGTCACTAATCGGGCCACCGGGTCGGGCCGGGCCGGAACATTACTGGTCCCGGGCCGGTTCCGGGATGGGTCACCCGGCCCGAGTCCATCCATAATGTGGCTATGTCCCATGTTATTTGGGGTGGGCTTCAAGGCATTAGACGAATGGATATTTTGTTAGTGTTTTTTTAAAGTGATTTTGGAGAAACAGATTAATAATTTAATAGTAAAAGTTGGTAATGTTTGAGAAAAAAGAGCATTTGAAAAAGTAAAAGTGGGTAATGTTGGATAAAATAAGTGCTTTTTGTGTAATAGAAAAAGTGAAAATCAGTTTAAAACACCTATCTACCAGCTTTTAGCTTTAAAGTGTTTTTTTTAAGTAGAAGTATGTAGGGTATGTTTGGCCCAACTTGCTGAAAAGATACTTTTGTGAGTTTTTTAATAACTGTTAGCTTTTAGTGCATGTTTGGCAGACATAAGTCTCTGTCTTGTAGCTTTTGTACTGTTTAAAAAGTCTCTAAAAGCTTTTAGTTGTATGTTTGGCATGAAAAAATTTAAGAGATTTTCAAAAAATAAAATATCTTTTTTGAGATGCTACGGGGAGTAGCATCTGAGAAAAAACCGTGACTTTTAGTATTAATATGTCCTAACAGCTTGTATACCAAATAGAACTATATCAAATAGTCGACTTTTTACCAAACAGCTACTACCTTTTCTTTTTAAGATATTTTCAGTCACTGAAAGCTAACGGTTACTTAAAAGCTCACAAAAGTATCTTTTCAGCTAGTCGTGCCAAACATATCCTTAGTGACTGAAAACATCTTAAAGAGAAAAGGTGGTAGCTGTTTGGTAAAAAGCTGACTGGATGATTTAGTTCGGTTTGGTATACAAGCTGTTAGGACAAATTAATACTAAAATTCACGGGCTTTTTTCAGATGCTACTCCCTGTAGCATATCAAAAAAGATCTTTTAATTTTTGAAAAGCTCATAAAAATTATCATGCCAAACATATAACTAGAAGCTTTTATAGACTTTTTGAACAGTACAAAAGGTAGAAGGTAGGCTTGGACTCGGGTCGGGCCACCCGGCCCGTGGACCGGCCCGGCCCGCTACTGTGCGGGACCGGGACCGGCCCGGTTCTCGGGTCCGGGTCCGGGTCGGGCCTAGGCCTGAGGGGTAGGGCGGGTTCGGGCTCGGGTCTCAATTTTGGTGAACCGGCCCGGGCCAAATTGATTTTTTTTTTATTTTTTTTTTCATTTTTGGGGTTCCACCCGGGTTGGGCTTGATGGGTAGGATGGGTTTGGGGGGGTTTGGGAGGGTGGGGGGTGAGGGGGGGGGGGGTTAGGAAAGCAAAAAAAAAAAAAAAAATCCAAACCGGAGGTCCGGCCCGGACCCGGACCGGACCTGGTGGCTACCCGGGCCGGTCCCGGGTCCACCATTCTTGAACCGCCGGCCCGGCCGGGCCTAGGTCCGACCCGGACCCGGCCCGGCCGGGCCTAGGTCCAACCCGGACCCGGCCCGGACCCGAGTCCACCCCTACTAGAAGGTAGAGACTTATGCTTGCCAAACATAGACGTAATAGCAAACACTTTTTCCAACTTATTTTAAGTTAAAAGATAAAAAGTGCTTATTTTAAGTGTTAGCAAACAAACAAAACTAAATTCAAAAAGAAATTTTCTCATCTTGGGGGCTTTAAGCAACAATCGTGCTGGTTGTATACTACCTCCGTCCCGGTGGATTTTGCCAAGTACAAATTAGATGAGAAATAAGAATAGTAAAAACTGTGTGGTTGAGATAATTGTGCAGATGAGAGAGAAATGTGCAGAACCACAAATTAGTTGCTTTAATAGGAAATTACAAAATTTTTTGGAACAACCAAAAAGAGAAAGTTGACAATGTCCAATGGGACAACGGGAGTACATTTTTTATACACACTAGTATACACAGTTTGTGAATGGGCTACTTTTAGTCTGCCCTTCACAAACAAAACATGTTTGTGAACATTATGCTATATTCACATACAAAAATAGCATATTCACAAATGTGTGTACTTGTGTCTACAGAAAAAGTGTACAAATAGTTTTTTCTTTAAGCAATGAGAAGATTTTGATATGCTTACGGGGATGACTTCATGCCTATTAGTGTCGGCTTATTGGTTTCAAATTTTAATCTCGAATTATTCTATCAGATAGTCATACAGAATGATCTCAAAATAATTAGGTTTCATATCCAAACGTGTTTGTACGTTTTGGAAATAAGTATCATATTTTAGTAAGACTATCTAATAGTCACGATCTTATTTAAATAAAGAGTTGTTTTTGTTTGCGTCAAAGAAAAAGAACAAAAGAAGCTTGTATAAATGGGGTGCCAACTTAGCCTCCGATTCTCCCCAAATTTCAATTTTAATTAGATTACTTAGATAAAATTTGCATGTAGAATTTTTTTCAAAAAATTATTTGTATCGACCCATCTTAATATACTACACTATCTGGGCTGTAGAAACACCTATGGTGGAAAGGAGATAGAATGAGGAAAATATAAAGAAAAAAGAATGTGAAAATGAAAAGAAAAAAAGAAAGATAAAAATAAAAAAGAAGCAAAATTGACTCATAGATAAAAAAAGATCTTGAATTGATTAGATTAGAGCATCTCCAATGCAAAAACGTGAACGGTCCTTACGTTGCATGAGAGATATCCAATTAAAAAAATAAAAAGAAATCAATTTCCTTATTTGAATGATCTTATACATTTTTTGTCAGTTTTTTTTTCACAATGTCAAACACAATGTCTACATTGTTAAACAATGTGATTAACATTATTGAGAAACTTACCAAAATCACATAAGATCGTGCAAAGAAGAAGAGAGAAATGTAATAATTTTAATCTTTTGTGTTTATTTCACTCATACCACATGCGTATTGTACAAATCGTAACATCGGAGATTCTCTTAGAACTGCTAGATATAGTTTTCATAAGTTGAATCATATCAATTTCATGTCATATGTTATCACTTTTTAAGTGATTAAAAAAATAATAACAATATAATAATACAACATTATTAAACATTAAATATTTTAAACATAACTCGTGTTAGAGAAGAAAAATTGGATAAAAACTTTAACAATCATGTGAAATATAAATCATCCATGTCAAACCACTTAGAGTATGATCATATAAAGTTCGCATTTAAATAAGGTAAGATGAGACCAAATTTAAAACAGAGAGACCAAAATTATGGACGAATAAATTAGCTTCTAAACTTCTCTTCACTACAAAAAAATTCGCGTTTTGTCACGGATTACGGTCGTGACAAAGTTGTCACGGACTTTGTCACAGAATAATGGGATTTGTCACGAAAATGTGTTGTCACGGATAGGTCCGTGACAAAAACCGTGATAAAGAATTGTCACGAATTTGGTCCGTGACAAATTTACTCCGACGACCGGTTTTTTACTCCGATGAAAACATTTTTTGCTCTCGGGCATTTGTCACTGACAGATCCGTGACAAATCCGTGACAATTTAAAAAAAAATGTCACGGATGGATCCGTGACAAAATCCGTGACAAACATCAATTATTGATTTTCGACCGACAACCTTTAATAATAGAGTACGAAAAAGGGGTTGTCACGGATAAATCCGTGACAAATCCGTGACAAATTTTTTATATATCACAACCCCATCGTCCATTACAATTGCAAGAACAACACATCGGTTCAAAAATTCGTAGATTCGAGTGATGTAGTATCGATTTAAAGATTGAATGATGTAATCTGTCAGTTCATCATTTTTCTTGTTTATGCAGATAAGGTATGTCATTTTAACTAATTTCTTTTAATTATGTAATAAATTAGTAGCTTAGTGAGGTTAGTTGTTCATTTATTTAAACTATTAACGTAATTTAGTGAGGTCATGTTAATTTTCATATTATTAACAATATATTATTAAACTATTAACGTAATTTAGTTAAATTTAGATATAAATATTAATTAGTTAATTGAAATGAGTTTATATCACTATTGATTAGGCCGGTTTGTTTATTAGCAATTATTGTTATTAATGCATATAATTTAGGATTTGTAGTGATTAAAGTATTAGCTAGCTTATTATAGATTAACTAGTGACTTGTAGTGATTTAAGTTAGCTAGCTTAGGTTATTATCACCAATTATTGTTTATTAGCAATTATTGTTAATGCATGATATAGGATTGAAACTTTATTAATTAGTTTAGTGTGAATTATTACTGTGAATTAATGAGGTAATATTTAACAATAATATTAGTTAAATGTATATTAATTAACTAAGTTAAAACATTGAACTTTAGTGAAATGGGTTTAGAATTTGAGTTGATAATATTAGTTATATTTAAATATTAGTTAATTGAAATGGGTTTATAACCAATGATGATTAGGTTTAATTTGTTTATTAGCAATAATTATTGTTAATGCATAATTTAGGATTTGTAGTGATTTAAGTTAGGATTCAAACTTTATTAGTTAAGTGTGAATTATATATTATTGTGAATTAATGATATTTAACAATATTAGTTAACTTTAGTATTGTGAATAAATGCCATTAACGTAATAACTTTAATTAGTATTATATGTTAGTTAATTATTTAATGTGTACTATTAGATTTTCATAATTT